CCTCCCAACTGCACTTAGAAATATGGGAAAATATCACAAATATCACAAAATATGAAATATCCTATCATTTCAATGTTACTTAAATAGCATAGGGAGCTAAAACTAATTTGTGTGTAAAACGTATTTTAGATATGTGAAGATTGATTAATAATCAATCTTCATGGAATGGAATAAACAGGTTATACAGTATGTGTTACCTTTCTGTATATATACAAATACATTGGCACATGTACATTATCAGGAGCAGAAGCTCCTAGTGAATATTAACATGTCTGTCTAGTTGTAGTTAGTAAAATCAAAGAGTTCTAACTGTAATTCGCCTTATTGTACAAAGCACACTATATACCTTATACCACACTATATACAATTACCACACTATCTTCGATATTGCTTAAATACTGTAGGGTGTTGAAACTACATTTAAAACTTCCACACAGTATTATCCATTTTTTACAGCTCTTATAAACATTAGCTTAAATGACCATCAGTCCCATATGCTAAGATGCTTACCTAGTGTGTTGCAGTCTGCAAGTGCAAAAGCAGACAGACTGCTCACAGGATTGAAGGCTGTGCAGTTGTAGCTGAGAGCACTGTCTGTAGGATGAGCTATGTGCTCTAGAACAGCAACACTGGTTGTCCCAGGAATGATACGCCCACCTTTCAGCCAACAAAAAGAAACATGGCCGCCCCCTGTCACCTGACAGGTCAGAGTCAGAAGACATCTGCCATTATCCCTATAGACCACCTCTGTCTGAATCCTCACTGCTTGGATCAGCTCTAAATAGAAATTTAGAATTAGCCATTACAATCAGCCCATGATCAAGTTTGTCTTCAAATGTTTCTTCTGTTATCTTGGAACAATATAAAATTTAGATTCTCCTGGCTGGAGGTGCTGACCTGTGTCATTTCCCTAATGAAATTAAGAGAAATTAAAAGAGAAAACTTCCAACGTCATTGCAAGATAAATGCCGCTGTTCCTGGAAATGAGATACAGACATATATCTGGTCTATACGTGATTGTGCAAGAGGTACATACACTGATGAAACATTCATTAGTGAAATTTGTCATTTTTCTAGGTTTACACTTACTAGATGAAGTGTTTGCCAGCAATATAATTTAACAGAACATGGTAAGAAAAAGATTCAGAATG